ACGCCAATGTGGTGCATTAGACACAATAAGAAGGTGATAAGTGCAAAAAGTAGTAAGCTCTAGTAGTAGTAATGTCGGGTCGGTAAACGTGTAACACTTACCGATTGGGCAAACATCTACTAGATTGCACCCAACTCCTTATGTCGTCTTTTCCTTTTCTTTACCTTTTCACAGATAGGAGACATCCTTGGGCAATAGGTCATGTTAGAAAAAAAGTCTAGATTTGTGTATTCGCTATATTATAGAAGCTAAGGCGTCTATTATATTCAGTCAGTTTACACGTACATGAAAGTCATTAATTTTTGAGAACATTTGAGATTACCACGCCTGGAATATCTTGGATTATTATCGTCAGTGTGCCATGCTGAGATGTGACAAAAGTGTGGTTCAGTTCATCTGTTGCAGGAGTTTTCATAAGTGAAATGATAGAACAACTTGCATACGCTGGGTAAATTCGTAGGATGATTACTGATAAGTTGTTTTAATAGCGCTATATATTTGTTTTTGTAAAACAATGGGAAAAAACTGAATTTTGAGTATAGCGCTACTTAAACAACTGCAACTTGCAAGTTAGCGATCCGAATGCCATGAAATTGGCGCACACTTCTTTTCCTTCTGCGCTCTCTACCAGATAGTACTTAATAGGACGCAGCGTTCCAATTAATTTTAAGCGAACTTCATAGAAGCTACGTAATGTTATTGGGTTTCGATAGGTGACGCTGTAGGCTAATTGGACCGATACTGTAATCAAACTTACAATATTTATTTTAGCATTTCCATGACAATAACTGTATCGAGTAAGTCTCATAGTAATTTAGACGTGTTACTCGACAGCAGTTTCATCCTGAAAAAGTTATTTTATTGAAAGAAAAAACCAAGGTCTGGCTACATGGCTGTAGACTCACTAATCGTTACAGCTAGTCGATAATAGACGTTAACAATCGAACTTACTCAGTCGAGCTTACTCGATATTGACACCTATAAATCAGCCCCTCTTCACATGTTGAAAACAGAACAAAGCCTATGGGTTTTGAAGAAAAACAAAAAATATTGTTCGCTAGAATACTTTGGCTAATGGGTTTTCAATAAATAATATTAAGATCAGAAGATTAAAAAATTGTTTTATTCATTTCCTTCGCCTTTTTTTATATCCCACACCACTTGCGATACAGCGGTATATAAAGTTTGTGTGGATGTATGCAAAATGAGATAGACCGTTGTCTTGCTTTTCTCTTTGTCTATCTGTCTGTCGGTCTTGTTTTCGTTTATTGAATCTACAGGCAGCAGTTTTTGACGTATTTTGATGAAATTTTATACTCCGGCTCAAATACGAACGCTACTGAAAATACTTTGGATTGTGTCACTTTTTCGACATAAAGCCTTATATTAAGAATTGTAGGGTGGTGTAGGCATTTAATGGTGGCCCACGCTAGTGATTTTATTTGCTTGTATTTTTAAATCTGCCTGAAATCGAGTTCACCTCTTTTTCTAATATTTTCCCGCAATTTTCGCATTTTTGTTTCATATTCGTCTTAATTAATCGCTATTGATATATTTATTATTGCTAATTTTTCTCTTTCATGAAATCAATACTATCAACAAAAAAAAAGAAACAAAAGAAGGGAAACAAATAAAACGAAATTTATACATTTTAACAGCAATTTGCCAACGATAACAATTTACTGTAAAACAGAAGGAGTACAATAAACAACAACTGCAACCAGCTGCAAACGACAATAGCCATTAATGCTATTTTTCTTCTTTTTTTTTTATGACAAAAAAAAGCAAAAAAAAACATATACTACATAAAAGGCAAAAAACAAAACAAGTTAGCAGCAGTTGTTGACAAGACATACTCACAGACTCAGTAACAGAAAAAATAATAAATAGCAACAATAAAAAAAAATAAAAAAAAAAAAATGACAAAAATGTTTAAACAATAACAAACCACTTTAGGTACAAACGTGTGTGAAACTTGTAACAAATGCCAAATATGCAAAAACAACATCAACACAATAAAAACAAAAAAACAAAAAAGATATAATAATATTTTATTGCTTAATTTACTTAAAGTTGAACAAGTGTTACGAGTCCCTCTTTGCTGTTTGCCTATGCACACATATACATCGATATACATCGAAATACGAATCCGATTTGTTTGCCGTGAGTCGGAACGAGATCGTTGTATGTATATACGCTATTGCTGTTGTTGTTTTGTAACGGCGATAGTGTATCTACTTCCTTCTCATATCTTCGTAACGACAGCAACAGCAACATTTGTTGAGTACAACTTTTATGAGTTTATTATAAAAGTTTTGCTCGAAAACTCACTTATGCTGCAAGGAATTTTTCTTTTTTTAACCAATAAATTAAACAATTTTACGCGGATTTATTTCACCCACTAATTTTTAATAGCTCTTTTATGCGCACGCTTTATATGCACGAATGGAACGTGCGCAGCAACGAAATGTCCTCACCTAGAAGTCGTAAGCACAAAAGAGATATGTCAAACTGACAATTACGCACTGAAAGCATAAGCTGCACTTAACTTACCACCTTTAGTTAATTAATAGTGTTTATGCCTGAATTTATTGACAAGTTAAGGATTTATATCCTACACCATTTTCGCTACAAGGGTATACTAAGCTTATGCGGATATATGAAACATGGAGGAGGCTTTGAGAGGCGTCTAACTTTTATTGTACCGATCGATTCAGAATCGGTTTCTGAACATACTTAAGTTTGTCTTCGGTCTTGTTTTCTTTGCGATCAACCTACAGACATTTAAAGGAAATTTGATAAGACAGGAGGGCTTTGCGGGCAGGACGAGGACTATTGAAAACGGTTCAGCTCGGCCGCTTTTTTCGTCCCTTCCCATAAAACGCCTCATTTTTTTTATATATAACGCTTAAATGCATATTGTTGCCAGTTGCTTTTGTATGCTTATTGCTTCAATAAGTTTTTAAAAAAATTAAAAAAAATAAATGAAACAGACATAATGCATTTGATGATTAAAAAAACATTATGCAAAGATTGCTACGAAAAGAAATATGAGGTTTTAAACACATGTTCGCTGTGCATTTAGGGGCTAAGTCTCTCTGAAAATTTAAATTATCTATTAGAAATAGAATAAGGTGAGGCAACAATCGGCCTAAATTTCCTTGAAGCATCTTTCACCTCGTGAACCTGTTTCATACATCAGGTCTATCATCCATGCATCTATTCTACGGGCCATTTATGTGTTACAAAAAATGGCACAATTTAATATATAACACATCACTCAATAAGTTCGTAATACGACGACTGTAATTGCAATGGTAAAGCAATGGTCGGAATGTTATGACACTTGCATGTATTTCGTTTGAAAGCTTGTACTGTCCAAATGGATTTAAAGTGGGTTGGTCAATAGCCATCTTACATCCATACATCATACTACAAACTTATTGATCGAAGTTTTTATAAGACTAATAACACAGCACTGATCGTCGCAAATCGTTGCCAATTGTTAAACGCGTTTCCAGCGATATCGTATGAATCCTTGCGAGTTTATTTTCATCTTAGACTAAAATGTGATTTTTCTTTTCGCCCAAATATATGCTACGCTTACAGACTTAGATTATTGTAGCTAAAGTGATTTCACGTTGAAAAGGTTTCTCTATCTGACATATCAAAAGTGCTTTTTGGAAAACTGATTCCAAATTTTTTTGAATTACCTTTAATACAGTTTGCTTGGACCAAGTTGACTGTAGAATTGTAGATTGTGCACGATGATTTTTATCCGCCAAGTCACAAGCTGTTAACAAGGAATATTATTTAGTGTAAATCTGTTCGCCAGAAGCGATCTATGTTACTCAGCAGACAATTCTTGGTGTTTGCATCACCTCAATGCACACTTCCACAAGTGATTATTACATCGAGAATATTTCGCCTAAAATTCAAAGCATATTGTACCTCAACTGTGTGTATTCGCAATACACACAACTCACACATTGTGTGAGTGATCGCTCTGGTGATACTGTTTCGTCTCGATTGTGTGAAGCAAATGTTTAAGGCCTTTCCTGAAAACGACTCGCCTGACTGTTTCGAAGATCGTAAAAGCGATGACGAGATTGGACGAATAAATAAAGAATAATAAAAAGAGGAATAAATAAAGATTCGAAAAATTGAATAGAGCAAAATAAGACGAAGGATAAATAATGACTTTTCATTTTATGATTATAAATTCACCTTATTCTTTGGTCAAGGTAGCAATCAAGAGAACTAATCAAACAATTATTTAAAATGTTTTGCATTACAAATAGCTTTCGTTTATAACTTCATTTTTGATCATTTATTGGTCACCTGTTCAAAAACGAATATAATCTTTGCTATAAAATTCTAATAACTAGTAATTAAAATATCATGAATGTCATAAAAACGATCATAAAATCTTTAATTGATTTTATAATTATCGCGTTATAGACTAGTAAAGTGTTTATCTCAATATCATGTCGAGATAAGTTATATATATTATGACTTACATATACATAAAAGTCCATGTATACGCATACGCAAATCAATTCATAATGCTCTACACTAGACTATAAATGTTAATTGACATCAAAATATTTTCTAGACTTCCTCTCGTGAATTACCTTGATTTTAACACTTTGTTTACCCTTACATTTTTAAATTTATTGCACACATTATAAGTGAATTAATGATATGCGAAGAAAAAATAAATTCTATCTAATTATTTTATTGTATTAAATTAAATGCAAAGTTCGTTTACATTAAATTAAGATTAATGCTAGAATAGTTGAAACCGGGATTATTATAATCTCAGTTATTTTTGCAAAACATCATTTTTTTTTTTTTTTTCTTTAAAGAGCTGAAGCCTTAAATGTCTGAAAAGCTGTCGTTCTGCTTTTTTTTGAAGATTTAAATCTTATTAAAAAATTTAAATTTTATTTATTTTGTTAACATGTTTCTTCTCTTCTCCTCTTTTTGCAATTGTGCAGGTTCTCCGCACTCCAATGATCGGGATGCTGGTTTTTGTTCGGGTAGTTCAGAAGGTGGGGATGATTGCTCCATTGATCATTTACGAATGGATCCTAGTAGTCCAACTGATGCTTCCGAGGATTCGGTCGAAGTTAAAGTGATGCCAATTTCTTTAGTTCGAAATAAACGTAAAAGTTCCGAACCATCTAAAGTAGTGTGTGAGCGTAAACAATTGTCTACAGCTCAGTCACATGGTCCTTTAAAGAAACGCATTCGGTATACCTCGAATACAGATTCAGCTGTGGTATTAACTCCGCCTACAATGACTGTAACCTCACCATCACCCCACTTATGGGATCCTAGTCAAGTGCTACCTCATGAGTTTATGCCAAATCCGGCTCAGGTATTTGTGCGTCATCCCGGTGTTACTACGCTACATAGAGCGCCTGTAGATTTTGCTGAATCGCAAGAACAAGAGGAACCTTTAGCCTTGGTCTTAAGGAAACCTACAGTCAACTCACATACCGTAATTACTGCAGAAGAAGAATGTACAAAAACATTAAAATCTCCTAAATCTCTATCACCTAAGAAACGTTTGTCGGCTGCAGCAACCAGAGAAGACGAAATCTTGCAAACACCGGAAACGTTCACCGATTTAGCGGCTTTAAGCTCGAGCACTGCTTCGACTTCAAATTCGGTTTACAATGAAAGTGCTCTGGATCCGTCTGTTGGCAAAAATTCCTCTGCATCCACAACAAAACCTCAGCAACGTAATTATAAGAATATGACCCGCGAGCGACGTATTGAAGCCAATGCCCGAGAACGTTCACGTGTGCATACAATCTCAGCAGCCTATGAAACTTTAAGGCGATCAGTACCGTCTTATTCCAGCAATCAAAAATTATCCAAACTCTCTGTACTGAGAGTGGCCTGCTCATACATTTTGACCTTGTCGCGCATGGCCGGTTATGATTACAGTAAGGATCAATGCGAACCCTCAATAGCTTCCTGTTTCGATGCGGTTACCGCAACCATACAGACCGAAGGTAAAATTCGCAAAAAGAAAGATGAATAAATCCAATCTTCGCCTCAAAGTTCATAAATATGGCTTTGTTTGACGCTGTTCCAGACGACTGAACTGCTATTTTTTATAAACAAAAACAAAAATAAATAAATAAAAAAATAAATATAATAATAATAATAAAAAAATTTAAGCTTTAAGCTTTTTTCCTATTCACAAGGCTATTTTCTTTTAAAACTTTTTCATGGCTTTAAAGCGCTCAAAGCTTTATCGTCAAGCTAGATGCGGTTCGTTATTGATAAGCTCATAGTGTTAAAAGTTTCTTAATAACTAATAACAAATACAAACAAAATTGTGATGTTGCTTTACTTAAACACAAGGAAAAAGAAAGAAAACCCACTATCTTTAATAAAATAAAAAATAAAAAAAGAAAAATAAAAACTTCTAAAAAAACTACAATTTAAGAAAAAGACAATAATTACTTTGCATGAAAATATATTTTATGAAAATTGTAAAAAAGAAAAAAAAAACATAAAACTATAAAAATGACAATAATGTATTTAACAGCAACAAAAACACCAACAAATCACCCTTTCTCTCAATTTCTGTGTGTACAAATTTAATAAAAACAAACAAAAACAACAAATTCATTATCAAATTATAAACTTAACTAAACTTTATTTATAAAAATTCAAAAAAAGGAAAAAAAAAAAAAAACTCTAAATTTGATTTAATTGTAAACATTTTGTTTCTTAGTTATTAAGTTGAAGTGCCATAAAAATTTGCAGAAAAACAACAAATAAAGTAAGAAAAATCTGACACTTTTACATACAAAAGTATCATTACTGTCAGAAGTTATTTAAAAAAACAAACAAAAAAAAAAATACAACCAAACGCTTTTTATTTCTTCACTATTCCCATAGAAAACTCGTTTTTTTTTTTTCTTTAATTTTTTTTTTTTTTTTTGTTTTAATGACTGGTATTGCATTGTGATAACCATCTCCCTTCCGTATATAATTAAAAAAAAACTTTATTGGTAGTGGAAGAAGGAAGTATGTAGAAGTAATTTAAGTTTTGCATTGCGCTATTATCAATCACTTACCACAGCACGTGAATACTCTACACTTTCCTTACTTGGCGGAATATTTTAGCTTTTGCTGTGAACACTATAATCTTCAGTGCTTTTTCCTCCTTTAAATTCTTTGGGATGAATGGTCGGGTAAGTAAGTCGAAGTAGGAACTTCGACAATCAAGCCGGTAGTAGAGATTAATTAGATCGTAACTAGAGTGCATACTCGATCGATAAACGCATAACACTAGCTAGCGGTAACCCTGTCACCGTGTTATACGAATAACAAGCTCCCCCTGAGTGACTCGTTTGTAAAAAAAAAAGGCGTTCTTTACCTACGCTGTACTAAAACAGTGAAAAAATTAATAGCAGGCAATGAAAAATGGCTCATGTATGATAATAATGCTCAGAACAAGATCGTGATCGAAGATGGAAGAATTTGCACAAACAGTGGCAAGGTGTGACAACTACTTCAACTAATTTTTGTGTTTGACGCGATCAGAAAGAAATCGTGCACCATAATCTGCTCCAACCTGAACAGTCTATTCATTCTACTCTACACTGCTAGCAACTAATGCGAATATAATGCGCGAATGAGATAAAGCATCCAGAACTAATTAATAGAAAACGCGTCGCCAGGCATGTCTTTATGACTCGGCAAGAATGGAGAGATCTTGGCTGGGATGTAGAACCCAAAAAATGTTACCTCCGATACAGCTTATTTCACTTATTGCCGAACTCTTTTAGTGGTGCAAGATTAAGTTCACCAAAAGAGGTCTGTAAAATCGCTTCTTTGAGTTTTCGACCAGAAATCGAAATGCGGAAATATTAAGAATACACCGGCCACTGCACGAAATTAAAGCTTTTGGATCATCTAATATAATATATGGCTGGATTTTTTCACTTCGAAGGCTGCTGTAGCCGGCTCGTGTACGTTCATGTGTTCTTGCTCTTCGGTAAAATCTTTCCGGTGCCTTCGAGGCGAAAATATGAAAAAACTGGAAGGGTATTTGCGTGGTTTTCCCCGTTTCTTCTTTGTTGTTAATTTCATTTTTTCAATGAACAAGAAATGTTTGTGCCAAATTTCATCTTCCTGTCTTTATTTTTTTGGCTCTGACTCGTCCACAATGCCTCCTAAGGGTGAATCAAAATGTCCCCTAAGAGTCGAATTAAGTATATGTCATCGGCAGCTGCAAAGGTGGTGAATAGAGATGAAGAAAGCCTGGTCGTGGCTATTTAAAGGTCTTTTCGTCTTAATTAAAAGCTATTGTAGACTTTTGGAAATTTACACGCCCTATAGTGATTTTTTTTAAGCTCAATATTTGAAGCGACTCATAATGATCCATGGGTAGTATTCTAATATTAACTTCATTATGCCTAAGAGTTTCATCTGATATAACATATTTCCGATAATATCCATCGACAAAAAGTTTCTACCGCTGCCAAGCAGTTACTAACTTGTCAACTGCAACATTTACGTTCGCCTGAGCATAAATAAAAGTTTTTTTGTTAGTGCCCTCTACTGCCATTAGGTATTTTAGCTATTAATGCACATACATACATGTATATGACCTATAGCGATAAAGCGATATAAACAGACGTATCAAAAAGAGAGAATTAATTACAAGTGATTACAAGTCTATTTAACATTTCGAAAAATACGCTTAAGAAACTTAAGAGTTTTCTTGAACGACGGACACTTGAAATCTTTTCATTATCGCTATGTGCACCATGTCATTGGCCCCTGTTCCAAAGTATCAATAAATTAACAATAAATTCTAAAATTACAAAACTAAACAATTGTCAATAACTTCTAGCCCAACAGAACAATATAATAAATTAAGCAATCGGGAATTAAAGGTTCATGGTTGCTGCAATGTGTTTGTGTTATGCGGGCAGTATTCGTTAAGGCATTTATAAATGTTAAAATTATGGTTATTGGTACAATTTACCAGCAAAGATAATAACGATTATAGATAAAACTTCATTTGACAACTTTATCTGCAGACAATTTATGGTCAAAATTTCCCCAACATGAGTGGTATGAGTGGTATGGAAATTTTGCCTATTAACGCTAGAGTAAATATGTTTATTTCGAAAGTAGGGCAAGTCCATTCCATTCAATTGGAAATTGATGAATTCCGAACTGGTTAAAAAATCTTCGTGGGAATGCTTGTTTGCTTTCAAAAGCCATTCTGCCATCTGCCCTCTCCTTAGGCTAGCAGTCTCTCTTTCATATTATAATTATAAGTGAAATATGTATGTATTGGATCAGGGCCTCTACACTCTTAATAACAATGAAGTTAATATGTGCGTTTGAGATGAAACTATCGCGTTGGGAACATCTTACTATTAGAAAAACTTACAGAGTGTGAGCACATATGGGCACACTACAGCGTACAATGATAAGTTCACAGTAAATAACTATCAATAAGAGCAGTGGTCTGTTATGTCTTCACCGACTCAGCATTCACTATAGTTACGACCAAAGAAACTGCTAATGCATTCAATTCAGAACTCGTAAACACTGACATGCGTATTCGGCCACTTGGGCTGAATGCTAGCACTATAAACTCTGCATCGCATAATAATAAACTTACATTATGTAATACCTCAGAATATAAAAAAAAAGTGTCTACTAGTTTTTACCAATATTTTTTAATTTATTGAAATGCAAATGATTAAAGATCTCACAATAAAAAAAAAAAAGTAGATTCGCCTCACTTCCAAAGCAAACTGTCCAACTGTTAAAAGATGTGAGGTTTCAAAGTTCCACTCGAGGTAAAATTCTAAACATGTTAGTCGTACGCTTGGAAAGCCGTTCTCGTTTTAATGAAAAGCCTTTGATAATTTATGGACGTTTACTTACCTTTAAATTACTCGTTAACAAGGATTGTTTATTGCATTGGTAGACATCGATCGGAACAACAACTCTGTGTTTGTTTCCATAAGAATATAAATTCTTTAGATTTTTCCCGTCAGTTAACTTTTTCGAATGCGCTTAGGCGTTCAAGTGTAAGAGCAACCAACTAATTATTTGAACAATATTTTTCGAAATAATTTGTTTATTAGAAGAAAGCATTGCTAGCTACTCAGACTAGCATTAATTTGTTGAAAGCGTAGGCAGCACATGCTTTTGCGCCAATTACTGTTTTGAAAATATTCAATGCAATTTACAAACCCATCATTAATCTGGATGTCTACAACAATAACACAGTCTCCTTAACCTACTACTTCTTAATTTCGGAATAACTCTTTTTATCTCCAAGTGTTTCTTTTTTCATTTCATTTTATTTGAGTGTTTTGGCCTGAAAATAAATTTTAGCTGTCAACGAACATAAACCTATTCATTAATTCATTTGATTGTAATAACTGTGTAACTGTGAAAAGACCTCCTATTCACACATATTTCATCACTCCTACCCATTGTCAAATTAATGTGTGCTGCGCTGCCTTACATAGTTCAAAACAACCTTGGGACACCCAACATACAATTCTTACAAGATCGAATGTGTAGAAAATGCATAGGATTATCTTGATTACAGCCACGCCTATTAGGCTGGGAGGAGGAAATTAGGCTGCAAAAAGTCACGAACATTATTAACGGAAAGTTATAATTTAAAAAAGACGTCGTTGTTATATGGATTTAGAATTGAGTATTTGAAACTTTTCCAATATAATACATATATACATTTATTTATTAAAGAATATCTTAGAAGAAAATGTGTGTGTACATTTTGCATACTTGATAGCAAAGAAAAATCTGTCAATTTCGCATTCTCTAAAGAAAGATGCCGCCAATGTCACGGCTTACTTCTTAGTCGTTAGACACCGGCGTACTGCCTATGCGCTACATATGCTACCGCTCTGCTTTCCAACATACAGTCTCTTAAGATTCAGTTCCCGACCGCCCGACTCGTTACGAGATGGTGGATGTTAAAACTCACTCCATGCGAATACAATACTTGAACTCCTTAAGAATGCCTCGATACATTTATGGAAGGTATGTCCACATGTCATATAGCCGTCCATGCCATTATTTTACTAATTGCTATTCAACACTTTTACACTTAATGAAATATAATATCTATGGAAAAATACTAACTCTATGTTAAACCTAGCATTCAGATAATGCTTAATAGTTAGCTTAATAACAATATTTCTTATGTTGGCACTTGAGGCCAATAAAATCAATTAAGCAGGAAAAACGTTTCAATATCTTAGCAATTATCAAAAACATATATCGCGCATTTTTTCAAATGATAAATCACCGCAAAAGTCATGGGGGTTTTGTATATACATGTGCTCATACGATTGCAATAAATATGATAAAGGGGTTCCAAAATGAGACGATATTTAAATGCTTTA